GGTCAGAGCAAAAAACTGTTCACAGAAGAGCAGTTAAATAAAGGAACGTATATCTCTATGATGCAATGTTGTTGTAACTAGCAAAAAATCTGAATATAGTAACACGAAAGGACATCCATGTTGCAGAATTACAGGTGTAGCATGATCTCATTCTTAAAAAAAAAAAAAATGGGGCATCTGGCTGGCTCAGTCGCTGGAGCATGTGACTCAATCTCAGGGGCTGTGAGTTGAGGCCCCATGTTGGGTACAGAGCTTACTTAAAAAATTTTTTTAAAAAGGTATGTAGTTGTGTGTATATGTCCCCAACATACATGTGACACACATGTATGGTCTGCAGGTAATCACGGACAAAAGAGGCAGCCCAGCTGCTTCTGGAGTGTGGTATGGGACGGTGGCGAGGAGACAATGAGAAAGGGACATTTCACATTTGGACTTGGTCTACACTGTATAGGAGTTATTTTTTTCAACAAGAATGTACACGGTCATAAAAATAATTAAAAGAAAAACAAATTTTAAGTGAAAGGCACAGAAAAAAGTTTTTACCTCTATGAAAAGTAGAACTTAGGGGAGAAAAACAATGGCAGTATTTTAGTGTCCCAAACACCCAACATCCCAAAAACCTACTGAGTCCAAACTTGCTGAAATTATGAAATGGAAATTGGTTTAACAATACTTTAAGATGTGAAAAAAGATTTTTTAAAAATGTAGTCACTCAGCAGATCACGAAGTGACAATCTGGTACATAGGGCAACACATACTGCTTAGAATTACTCTTAAAGACAATGAACATTCTACTGCTGTTTTAAAACCAAGCAGAACTACAGACTAAATAGAAAGTGTGTGTAGTACAGAATTTCTTTCACTCCTTTTAGAATCTGAATAAACAGACACAAAAGGTGACCACTGTTCTAAAATACCCAGACACCACAAGATGAAACAGAACAGAGAAGAGGGACTATTTACCTCTACTCAGCCACTGTGAGGCTATTTATAACATTTCAACAATTCCTACATAAATACCAATACTCCTATACTCCACAATCTGGCACTGAAATACGTGAGCTTATCAGATAGAAATAAACTGTTCTCTGTGTGAGGACCGCCGAGCATGGGAATCACACTCTGGGCTCCTTGGCAGGGGACAAACGGCCGTCCACAAGCTGCCTCTGCTCATTTTCCTGCCCCACTGACACTCCAAGAGCATACAGCCCACAGCCCTATCACACTGGCCATTAAGCAGTGAACTCCACGGAAGGGTAGGCAAAAGCGCCTGCGCACTTTGGGGTGGGCTTACTTCCGAGGAAAGGGACCTCAGCTCTTGACAGATTCCCAAGTGTCAGGTGCCATCAAAGATGACGGTCAAGAAAAAGTGGCACAATTTAACTAGAATTCTTACTCCCCCCCTAATCCCACCACTGATCAATTACGAGCTGTTCCACATAAAATGAATCACACAACTACGTCTGTGTCACTGAAAACGAAAGACAAAAAGCAGCTTTCGAATAAAGAATAAGAAATGAACGGGAAATGTGGCAGTTGATTCCTTGTATCAGGTGATGAAGTTGATGTAACGGGAGGCAAAGTGGCCTTTGAGGCCAGAGGAACACTGATGAAAGTGTCCTACCCACCCACTGAGCACAGGCAGCAGGGAACTGCCAGTTTCCATGGAAACAGAGTGGAAAACGGCAGAGTCCTCGACTTCCCAGGGCTTATTATAGTGGGGAAGACATCCCAGCAAAGTTGACTTTCTTAAAATAAGTCTGTGCTAACAGCCTGAAATGTAATCAAAAGACATTTGAAGAACCTGATAAAGAAGTCATAGGAAGGAATAATTCCAGGTCTGGAGAACAAACCTCTTTTTTTGCATCTTCCAGACTGGCATCAGGACAAATGACGACGTCTCGGCTACACTGTACCGGGTCTTTCCCAGCCAGACCCGCGATGGTGACTTTAATCTAAGAGAAAGATGTCATCACATTTAACATTGAAACATAAATTTAGAGTAACATTTTCACAGCTGCTGTTTTAAAATAACTTGGCAGGAAATACTGCAACAAAACCATGCTGACTTTAAGCTAGTAAGTTAGCTAAATATAATTAATAACTAGGTCTATCCCAGTTCGCCTGGGACAGTCCTGATTTATAGATGCTGTCTTGGTACCCTGCCTGGTCAGTGTCCTTTCTCCCACAAGTGTTCTGCTTTGGGCGATCATCCTGTTAATAATCCATCTTGCAAAGTTACTGTCGCTATTTAGATCTCATGGCATTTCCTTAAGATAGAAAGACAAGTTAAAACAACAAAATACTACTTTAGCTTGCAAAAATTTACAAAGTTAATAAAACCAAGAGCTGGTACTGGGAAAATGGGAATTTTCCTATACTGCTGGTGGGCCCACATTGGTACTTTGGGGAGCCATTTGCCAAAATCTGGTAATGCTGTCCTTTGGCCAAGCAATTCCACTTTCAGGCATAAAATCAGGAAAAACTTCCACACGTTTGCATAAGGAAACCTGTACAAGAATATTCGAGTATTATAATGTCCTGAAACAGCGGAACAGAAGCATGGATAGACTGCAGCACATTCATATAACATAATAATAGGCAGCAATTTTAAATAAACAAACCGGATCTAGATGTGTCTTCATTCACGAGAACCAGAGAAATGAAGGGTTAAAAGACTTTGGGGTCAGACTGCCAGGGTCGATGTACTGACTCTTTTCCTTACTAAGTTTACAAACTTAGCTAGTGTCTCTGTGCCTCAGTTTCTTCAACTGTACAATGAGGACGGCAATAACTCATAGGGTTGTTATAGGATTTAAGCAAGTTTATGTAAATGCTTAGAATGACACCTAACATCAGTAAACGCTATTTAAGTGTTCACTACGGATATATATACATAGAGAGAAAGAGACACATGCAAAATACAACTGCAGTCTAATGCTATTTTGAAGACATGCATGGGATGGATACACATCAATGAGAGGACAGTTATCTCTGGGGCCAGAAGGGGAATAGTACTGGGGAAATTTACAAAGAGTGCTCTGCAATGCTTTATTTCTTTAAAGCACCTGTTCCTCAAGAAGTGGGTCTACAAGAAATATGGCAAAATGTTAACAAGTATTAAATGTGGACAGTGAATAAACAGGTAATTATTATACACTGTGTTTTTGTGTGTTTGAAATATTTTATAAAGTACACTGAATATTATTTTATTAAGAATGACTGCAAAACCGTGGCACGGGTGGCCCAGTCGTTAAGCATCTGCCTTCGGCTCAGGTCATGATCCCAGGGTCCTGGGATCGAGCCCCGCATCGGGCTCCCCGCTCGGTGGGAAGCTCGCTTCTCCCTCTCCCACTCCCCCTGCTTGTGTTCCCTCTCTCGCTGTCTCTCTGTGTCAAATAAATAAATAAAATCTTAAAAAAAAAAAGACTTCAAAACCCAAAAATGTTTGAAAAAGGGGAGGGCTAGAAAACGTTGGGGGACTTACTCCAGCTCGCCTCATGACATCTACAGGGATGACTGTCTCCATCTCCTCTGCTCCTTTGGCCAGGATGACCAGAGCTCTTTTCGAAGCCATTTTTATGTTGTATTTTTTAAAGACTTACTTAAAAAAAGAAGAAGAAGAAGAATTTCAAAGAACTTTGCATTGCAACCTTAAAATAGCCCAAAACTTCAAGTTTAGGAACATTTTTAAGCAAAGTAAGTAAGTGCCTCCTACGGAAAACGTTCTGATAAACAGAACGCGAAAAAAGCACTTTAGGGTAATACTGGTTTACACATTCAACTGCTGTTATTTTGAGATGCGAACACAGTAAGGTTGCTAACACGTGTTAGCACTGTTTGGATTTTCTTTTACCATGTCTGTTCGTTTGTTTGTTTTTTAAACAAACCCAATATACAATAACTTATTGCAACCAAAATTTCCTACAACACAAATACACGGGTCTTGCATTTCACAGAATGCGGGGAGAGTCTTATTTTGGAAATACTGTTTCAGAGAAACGACTAAACTTAATTTCATGGGCAAAAAGCTACAGACACAGTCTTTAGCAATGAGCCGGTGAGATTTTTGGAGGGGATTTTCTTTTAAGTTCCAATAACTGCACTAAAAATTCTGGAACGTTAACAGTGCTAAATAGTTCACCTTTTTTTTTAATGATGTAGAAAGATGGGAATTCCCCCACTAAACTCAACCCAACTGGACCCGCTCTTTACACTTCGCTCTCTCGTTGTAGAGGGCAGCTGCCAAGCGGGGGTCCGAACAGTTTTTAGCCCGTTCTTTTTGTGGAGTTTGCTGTCCATGCAAAACATACGCTAATGAAACCACTTCAGCAAACACAGCACTGACCAGTTTGCCAGTTGCAAACTGGTGGGATGCCATGCACACAACCCCGGGGAATACGAGGCCGTTCCGTTTGTTCCTGCCGGAAGGCCGCACACCCCGCAGCCGCGGCGGGACCCCGTCTCCGGCGCCCCCTTCCAAGCCCGCCCCGGGCTGCCCGTGGCCCCCTCACCACCCGCAGCGCTCCCCATACCGCGACCCGAACCTCGACTCTGTGCCCACAGACAAGGAACCTCGGCCCCTTCGGCAGCAATTCCGCGCCGGGGACGACCGAATCACAACCGGACTGAACGGGGACGCACACGAGCACGCACGCACGTCGCCCGCGCTCGGGCCCTCAGAAGCGCACTGCGCAGACGCACGCCGCTAGGCTTCTCGTTCTGCCCCACCCGTCGGTACTACGCAGACGCCCGCCGCGCAGGCCCCTCCATGTTCTCCCCCCTCGCCCCGCCCCCGGCCCTGCACTGCGCAGACGCACGCCGCCTGGCTTCTCATTCGGCCCGCCCCCCCGGTATTACGCAGACGCCCGCCGCGCAGGCCCCTCCATGTTCTCCTCCTCGCCCCGCCCCCGGCCCTGCACTGCGCAGACGCACGCCGCCTGGCTTCTCATTCGGCCCGCCCCCCCGGTACTGCGCAGACGCACGCCGCCCAGGCCCCACCTCCTCCTGCACTGCACTGCAGACTGGCGCCGCTCGCTCGCTTACGTTACATCCGGCTGAACCCACCTAGGACAGCCGCGGGGGACGGCCGGCCTTTCCGAGCCCTCACTGTGAGCCCCGGGATGTTTCCATTTGGAACACCCAGCACCACGAGAATCCCGCTGGCTCACGCACCCCCCCGAAATCTCCCCCGCCCCGAATGGCGCGGTCCGGCCCGCTGCCGGCGCCCGCTGGAGTTAACCCGCTTGTCGCCGCAGCCTGGAGGCGCGCAGTGCCCTCGGGAGCTGCGGCGTTTTGCTGTGAAGGGGCGTTTTCATGGAGTGGCCTTGTGCCTTCACGCTTCTTCCGCGCACTCGGTTCCCCTTCCCTGGAGCACTTTCCCGTGTCCCCTCCGACCTGTTATGACTTAAAGGTGTTCCCGATCTTGTGTCCCCCCACGGTGGGTCACCGGTCCCCCGAGCCTGTGCGACTCTTAGCATTTGTGTGCGTGCGTTAATTTCACGTGTGTTAGTTTCTCAAGGGTGTTTTATCCCAAAGATCCCAGTGCTGCTTCTGCACCCACAGGATTAGAGCACTGCTGAGCACATGGACCTGATAGTTACATTGAACAGTCACCTTGTCCCCATCCAGTTCCATCCCTGCCCCCAGGCTCCTTGCGGGTAACGTTATCTTAGTTTCCTGAGCATCTTTCCAGGATTTCCTTACGCAAGCACAAGAAAATACATTGTTTTACTTCTTTCTCATAGAAATGTAGCAGACTATATACATTGTACTGTCCTTCTCTCCCTGCCACCACCTTATTAAGTGAATATGTTGGAGATCTTTCCTTATCAAAAGGAACTTCCTTTTTTACAGATAGTATGCCATTGTGACATGTCTCATAGTTTATTTATCGGTGCCCTACTGATAACAGTTATTTCCAGCTGTTTTTTTTTTTTTTAAGTAGGTTGTCCGCCCAGCATGGAGCCCAACCTACAGCTTGAACTCTCAACCCTGAGATGAGGAAGACCTGAGCTGAGATCAACAGTCAGATGCTTAACCAACTCAGCCACCCAGGCGCCCCTGCAGTCATTTTATTGTACAGACAGCATTGCATTGAATCACCTTATTCACATGTCCTGCTTGTGTAGGTAAAACTGGAGGGCAAATTCCCAGAAGTGGTAAATACATTGGAGCAACTCCATACAAGTTGAGTCACTTATCACTCTTGCCAGTAATGTGAGGTCAAACAGTATTTTAAATATGTCGGTGTTTTTGAAATTTCAGTTTAGCTATTAAAAACATTTATTTTCAGGGAATAACTTACATTCCTTTGTTAGTTTACAGAGCGCTTTAATATATTTCATGAGATCCTTACAATGACGGTTAGAGTGGTTTTTAATAATTTTAAGAATTGTAAATGTATAAATTGCAACACTGCATTGTGCAAAATTTTTAAGTGTCTTTAATCATTTGGCATTTTAAGGAAACATTTTGGGAGTTCTGGAATAACTTCATCTTCGGTTATTTGCAAAGGAAGCAGGCAAAAGCCACCCCCTTTCAGTTTTGAAGTATGGTGGGAAGTAGGCAAGTGGTCAGACATGTGTTTCAAAGACCAAGGAGGGATTTAGGTAGATGAAGGAAAACCAAGCGAAGATGGGCTGTTGTGTTCCAGGGCCCGGAGTAAACTCTTGTAAGGAGACAAGCATGCTGGTGGCCTGCTGCAGCATGAGATAGCCAGCACAAAACAAAAATGGCAAGACCGTCTTAGTGGTGAAAGGGAGAGAGAGAATGAACCTGACGTAACACGCCTGAGACATCTGGATCACCATCAAGATCTGAAATGGACCTGGGTCAGCATCGATTTTATCAAAGAATACATTGCATGCGGTGTTTACAACTCAAGTATTGCTTGTGGTGGATTATCTTTTAGAAATATTCACCCTTTCCTCTTTCACCTTCTGAGTGGAGGATATTCCCTGCCCTTTGACTTTGGGTTTGGCCTTGTTTTATTTATTGTCTAAGGTTTTTACTTTATTTATTTGAGAGAGAGAGAGAGCAGGGGGAGGGGGCAGAGGGAGAAGCAGACTCCCTGCCAAGCAGGGAGCCCGATGTGGGGCTCGATCCCAGGACTCCGGGATCATGATCTCCGCTGAAGGCAGACGCTTAACCAACTGAGCCACCCAGGCATCCTAGATTTGGCCTTGTTTTAGCTAGTAGAATATTAACAGATGAGGCCTGAGCAAAGCCTTGAAAAGCAGTGACCTGGTGACCAGGCTTGCTCTCTTGTACTTTCGCACTGTTATATGAAGAGCTTTCCCCCAGGGCTGCTGCTGCTGCCCATTCCGCCTGGGTTTCAGAATGAACACCTGTGGAGCCTGTACCTGTGCCCGAGGCACGCACCACAGCCAAATGGCAGACCGTAGTACTCAGATTTTGTTATGCCACGATAGCTCAGTGATAAGGCTTTAAAAGGCTCATAATGAAAAACAGCAGTCTTCTGACTCAGTCCTTTCTACCCCTCAACCCTGCTTTCCAGAGGCAAATATTTTCAACTCTTTAAATTATTTCTTGTAATTGTCTCAATACAGTTGACCCTTGAACAGCATAGGCTTGAACTACATGGGTCTGCACAGACATTTTTCGATGAACACAGTTCAGTACTCTAAATGTATTTCCTGTTACGATTTTTCTTTTATTTGAGAGAAAGAACGAGCACAAGTAGGCGGAGGAGCAGAGGGAGAAGCAGACTCCACGCTGAGCAGGGAGTCCGACAAGGGGCTCAATCCTGGGACTCCGGGATCATGACCTGAGCCAACGGCAGACACCCAACCAACTGAGCCACCCAGGTGTCCCTCTTACGATTTTCTTAACATTTTCTATTTTCTGGCTTACTTTATTATAATAATACAGTATATATAAAATATAATGAACAAAAAATGTGTTAATTGACTGTTTATGTTATTGGTATGGTGTCCAGTCAGCAGTGGACTATTAATAGTTAAGTTTTGGGGGAGTCAAAAGTTATATGCAAATTTCTGACTGCACAGGCTTGGGGGATAGGGGGTGTTTGGTAGCCCTAACCCTTACATTGTTCAAGAGTCAACTGTATTTTTAAACAATATGCTAGTACTGTTATTTTTCCTTATTGGTTTAGACATTATATATTAACTTCCTGGAAAACATACTTTTCATCTCAGCTGCAGAGGTTGGAGTTTGGAAGGGTGAAATGACTATAAAAGGTCCTGCAGAGTCTTGGTCAAATGCAGATATTCTGATACCAAAGTTCACACTCTACCCACCATAAACTCTATCAGTATTACTTAATAAGTCCACAACACCCATGACACTCTCTTAACTTTCTAGTTCATACCTATTTCTCATCACACATTTGCAGAATAAAACAAAACGTTAAACCATCCACCAAAAAATGTTGCTCTATTACTGGCGGTGAAGACACCTCCTAATTCAGTCCCTGATTTCCAGGCAGAAAAACCTCATCCTATTCACTATTTTTTTTATTCAACATTTGACAAGTCTTTATGCATTGTAAGAAGTGCAAACTAAAAGTCTCTGGCTGTTTTCAGGGAGCCTAAAATCTCCTTTTTCTTGCAGCACTTGCAACATTTAATTAAAAGATCCTGTTCTGCCTTGGTGAGCTCCTAATCCAGCAATGGAGAAATGATATTGATAATGTGAGTGAAGGAGTTTGGGACATGCTACCTCCAAACATGTCACCTTGGCATATTGATTATTTTGAGCTAAAGGCATTTTTTTAAACAACAGGTGCAAGAAAGGCACTCAGATTCCCATTTTTTCATCCTGAAAGCAGAAGATGAAACTCTCAGGTGAGAACTGCGCTTCCAGTGCCGAGAGGAAAGAAACAGCACCAGAGAAGCACTTGAGTCTGGAAGAATTTGCACATGGAGACCTTGTTAAAGTAACTCATATTCCTTTAGTCTCCCTGTTTTACTTTACTTTTCCACGGTTGCCACTCTTTGTTCAACCCAGTATGTAAACATTAGCTTTGCCACCTCTTTGGGTCTTCATCTTCTTATGAAGGCTCCTGGGTCTCGTAAAATTTGCGTTAAATAAATTTGTATGCTTTTGTTCTGTTAACCTTTTATGTCCATTTAATTCTCAGGCCCTGCCCACCAGAGACCCTAAGGAGGTAGAGGTGAAATTTTTGCCTGCCCTACGTTAACAACAGCCACCAGTGGCCATTCTGATCCTGGTTCCAAAAAACAACCCTCCCCCAAAGTAGACTGGTCACAATAAATATTAAAGAAACTGCTGCTGGGTTACTTATCTTTCCACGCATCCCTTACATTTCGCATCTCATCTCACTACTCATTTTCTATGAATGCGGATGTGTCTTTTATCTTTTATCTAAGTACTTAGCATCTTGTCTTTTGTTTACTCCTGTTTCCCTCTAATCCTGTGAACTCAGTAGGACCTTCCTGTCTTCGTCACTACTGAATCCCTACCATCTACTACAGTCCCTGGCACATAGCAGGTCCTCAATAAATACTTGCTAAGCATTATCTTAGTTTCACCCTAAAGATGTTCCCTCCTTTGACTATCGCTGTAGAGTAATAGTTTATATTTGTAGAACACTAGAGTTTACAATGGGGCTCCAACCAATTTCTTATTCCTGTTTTAATCTTTTCCACAACAAATTCATTTCGCCAGACAGCGAATGGGAAATTTTGTGTGCAGCGGATAGGGTCACTTTATTTTCACCCTTTCCTGGGTTCGCTAAAAAGGGCGAGGGGCTAAACTGCAGTTACTGGGTATAAGGAAGGCATTTGCGGCATTGAGTAAAGTATTTTTCAACATCCTCTAAAGGCTGGTTCGGGGCAAGCTCCAGAGAGGTCCGGCAGAAACGGCGAATTTCCCCTCCGAGCCCCCGAAAGGTTAGGTCTGCGAGACAGGAGAAGAGTGGGCGAGCCCTGACATTTGAGGCAGCGCTGGCGCAAGGGGGAAATTCTGACACCGAGGTCTGTGAGGGGCCCTGGGGGGGCGGCTTCGCCTCTGCTCCCAGCGGTGTGAAAGCCCACCGAGCGTGGGCCCCCCGGCACCACTCCTACCCCCGGACGGGCGGCCAGAGGCCGGCTGCCGACCCGCAGTGACGTCAGGCCCGCGCCGCGCCGCAGGGGGCGGGGCGGCGCGCGTTCCCAGCAGCCCGTGCGGCGCGCTCGAGCCTGCGGCTGCCGGCCGGAAGTATCCAAACGACTTCCGGACCGCGGTGGGGGCGCCGTCGCACCTCAGCGACCCCGCGAACTTCCGGGGGAGGTTGCGGCCGGCGTAGGCGAGGCCGGAAGTCGACCCTTCCCACCTCCGCATCCCAGATTGGTTCCGGTGGCGGACGCCTAAGGGCGCGCGGGCTCTGGCGCCCGGGAGCGCCGCTACGTGCAGGCTGCTGATCGCCCAGCGGTGGTTTTCTGGAGAAGCCGCAGAGCCCTGCGTCGGAACAGGGCGGTGCCGTGGGCCCCGTCCGTTCCCGTTTCTCCCTGGCCCTTTGTGGACGACACCGTCCTGCTCTGCTGTTACTGCGCTCTTCTCGGATCAGGATCTGGTTAGGGTTTCGATGTAGGAGTATCAAGAGCGTTAAAGACACCTTTCATTTGTGAAATGGGAATAGTAACGCCTGCCCATAGTTTGGTGAGGACCTAGTGAGAGCCCACGTAAAACAAGAGCTCAGAGGAACTGAAATGTGGGGTCCCACCTGGCTCTGTCCTGTGGTGGTCCTTTATTCCAAATCTGCTGCAGTGTTTCCAGGTTCCAGGGGTCTTGGGAACACGGTGATCCACGAGCCACAGCGACATTTCTCTCAGTGGTCGAAGTGATCAGTATTCCACCCAGCAGCACACGTTGGAATCTGGCAGAACTTTCTGGGTCCTTGCTTCTGCCCCTTGATTGTGTCCTGTGTCCCTTTCTTTTCTCAAGCCAACTTACTGCACGTGGTGTCAAGCCGGGGCTGCACCCACGGTGAAAACAGAGTATTCTGGCAACCTCTGGCATGCCTGCATGGTGCTGTGGATCTGCTGGCTTGGGCAGTGCACACCTACGCAGGGGGTCACAATCAAAAGAAGGTATGTGACGGTGTTCAAATCCCTCCACACTGTGGTTCCTTATCTTCCACATTCTTATTTTTTTTATTTTTTTTTAAGATTTTATTTTATTTATTCATGAGAGACAGAGAGAGAAGCAGAGGGAGAAGCAGGCTCCCAAGGAGCAGGGAGCCCGATGTGGGACTCGATCCCAGGACCCTGGGATCATGACCTGAGCCGAAGGCAGACGCTTAACCATCTGAGCCACCCAGGCGCCCTATCTTCCACATTCTTAACCTCTTACTCTCCCTCACTCATTTTTTCTGTTCCTTGAACACACCCTGTACTTTGCCTCCTCCATGCTTTGGCACAAAGCAGTTCCCTCCACCTGGAATGCCATCTACTTCCCTACCGGCCTTTCAAGGTATTTTCCATTTTGCAAAACCCAGTTGCAGTGCAAAGACCATATATTCCCATAGCACTTTGTTCTCCTATTACAGAATCTGTAAGGCTGGGTGGCCTTATCATAGTTATTTGGGTAAACTTCCTTCCTCTCTAGGGTGTGAAGGCTGTTGGCATGGTGTCTTACCTAGATATGCCTCACAAGACAGCAAAACTCATTCAAGAAGCTTTGAGTGCCTGTCATGTGCCCAGCGCTGCTCTGGGTGCTGGGGATACAGCAGTGAAAAAAACGCTCCCCTCCGATGGCGCTCACGTCCCTGAGAGTGGGAGAAGACAAACAGTAAACAAATGCACGAAAAGCACTACGTGCCAGGTGGTAGTATGTACAGTCGAGGAAAGTAGAGGGGGAAAGGAGATGGAAAACAACAGGGAGAGGAGGAAACCTTGGTGAGACGAGGACACAGTCATCTAGAAAGTGAGAGGACGAGATTTTAGATGAGAGAGCAGCAAAGAAGGGCCCTGAAGCGGATGTGTGTTCCCTCCGCCCAAGAACAGCAGGGCAGGCCGGCTTGAGGGGCGTGGAAGGACTTAAAGTGGGTGAAGTGGCGGGTCAGATCATGTGCACGCTTGCATCAGACATTCAGTAAATGCTCGTGAATCAGATTTATTGAATTGATCAGGGATTAGAGAATAATGACAGTCACAATGAAACTTAGAAATTGTTAGAATGGGATAGACCTCGTGGGCATATATTAGGTGTTCGCAACTTACATGTGTGTCCATTGGAACTCTATTTAGTGCGGCAGCATTTAATTGAAAAAAATCTCAATGAATACCGATGGTTTATGCAGTGGTCTTCCATTAAAATGGAAATCTGGAAGAAAAGGACACAGATTCTGTAGAGGACGAAATGGACTGACATGTGACTGGAGTTATTTGGTAGATAATACAGATCACCATTAAAAAGTTCAGAAGGAGGGGACACCAGTAGGTTGAGTGTCTGCCTTTGGCTCAGGTCATGATCCCAGGGTCCTGGAGTCTGGATCCCTGCTCTGCAGGGAGCCTGCCTCTCCTTCTCCCTCTCCCTCTGCCTGCTGCTCCCCCTTTGTGCTCTCTTTCTGTCAAATAAATAAAATCTTTTAAAAAAGAGTTCAGAAGGAAACAAAATCTATCTTCTGATGTCTTGCTTTTGATTTGGAGGAAAAAAAAAAACCTTGTATGTTGACAAAAGTTGAGTTTGTGAAATAATTGGATATATTTGTGTATTTGTTCGTTATAAAAGCACTTTCCTTCCCCAGGGCTAAGGTGAATGCTAGGGAGAGGGGCCACAGGCAGAAGGTGGCTTTCAGCAGAAAGTCATAAGCTTCAGGACAACTTTGCTTGTTGGAGTGATCTTTCTTTGATCACAGTTGTCACTTGCAGCCCAAAGAACATTTCCCCTTAAGTGACCTGTGGCAACTATCTTCAGTGGAATTTTAAAATATAGAACACTTGGGGGTGCCTGGGTGGCTCAGTTGGTTAAGCGACTGCCTTCGGCTCAGGTCATGATCCTGGAGTCCCGGGATCGAGTCCCGCATCGGGCTCCCTGCTCGGCAGGGAGTCTGCTTCTCCCTCTCATGCTCTCTGTCTCTCATTCTCTCTGTCTCAAATAAATAAATAAAATCTTTAAAAAAATAAAAATAAAATAAAATATAGAACACTTGTTTACTTAATAGTTTTTGGTTACGTGCTCTTAAATTCTTAAAAGTCAATCTAACTTCCTTCAGAAAGTGGCTACTATTGATTGCACTCTTCATCACATTTCTCAAAGTTGAAATCGGCTGTCAGTTAATTGGCAATCATTCACATAGATGAGCTCAAATGTGGTTTCCGATTCAGCTCAAACCACTGCATCGGCAGTCTCAGGCTCCGCTGCTGAGTCAACAGATCTTTTTATTCATTCACAGGAATGAGTAGCTCCTGAGTTAGTCATAACTAATGTTAAGGTAGCCTTGGAGTGAGAACAGCAGGGCTCCGGCCCTGGCTTCTTTCCCTAACTGTGGCTGTCCGGTGTGCCGAGAAAATACGCTGTCCTGGTTCCAGCCTGTCAGTGTTTAAGCCCACCTCTGCCACGTGATAGCTGGATGATCCTGAGCAAATTAGCTGACCCTCATGCCTTGGCCCCCGTCTATACAACAGGGATAACTTCACAGGATTATTCTGAGGATTAAAGGAGTTAACAGAGATGAAGCTAGAACAGTGGCCTGTAGTAGACACTCTAATACTGTCATTAACACTTGGCTTGGTCACTTGAATTCTTTCAGCTTCTGTTTCTTAAACACTAGAAGAGTAACAATAGTTCTTGCCTCGTAGAATTGCTAAGAGGCTAAATAGTATGCTGAGTACAACATCTGCAATGCAGGAAGCAACCAGTAAGTGTTAGCTATTATTAAGTATTAGGAAACATTCATCAATAGTTGCAATCTGTTTAAATTCATTAGTGAAG